AACTCAAGTAACAGGAACACAATGAAAACTCTTGGGAACAAAACAAGAAAATTCGACAAAGGCAGGTCTAAATAGTGATTGGAGTGATTAGGAAACTGGGAGCAGGTGTGTCGGTGGGCGGAGAAACTCAGGTGATTGCAAATGAAAAACAGGTGAGCAGATGGATATTGGGACAGGAAGGATGTCCAGGGACATCTTGTGGGCGGATGAAAAATGGCAGGACTGGGGGAAATGAGGGGGAGAACATGTCCTGGAAGAAGTGAGCAGGGGTGGGGGACCGAGGCTGAGGGCAACTAACTGGGAAGCAGACACAGATGCAGACACAGTGACACAGCCAATGTACCCTGTATAAATAAAAGGTTAAAACAGTGTGTATGTGAATGCGTGCAAATGTGGACTAACGTGGATGGACATGTGACATGTGGAAGCAAATGAGAGGAAAAAGAGAAGAGAAACTGTCTGTACGAGTTTAGAGAAGGGAAGAATAAGAGAGTGAATGTGTGAAAAAATGAAGAAGGAAGGAAGAAAATCTAGTGCAATGGGCGGAAAGAAAGAAAGAAAGAAAGAAAGAAAGACAGAAAGAAAGAAAGAAAGAAAGAAAAGAGAGGAGCAGTACAATGTAACAGGAAAATTGTTGCTCCATCATCAGCCCTGTGTTGAGATACTTTCTGCATGTTGGCCCTGGGCACTTCTGGCCACACACTACAACAGGGGAGGGGTTCCCCTTAACACTGAGGCCAAATGAGGACAAGAGACTGTGTGTGCGCGCGTCGAGTACATATATATGTGTGGAGCTCAAATCGTGTTTTTATGGGAAGCAGTAAAAAAAGCACAGTTATCCTCAAAATGGCACAAGCTGTGACCTAATGCCACATCTAGTGAGCCACTATAGACAGAGAGGGATCAGCTACTGAGTGAAGCCAGTTAAGCCAGCCTGATGCATATGCCTTTCAAATTAAAACCATGTGAAAAGACTCTAATGGAACGGACACAGAAACTGTGAAAGAAAACGACTCGCGGCAATTAGATGCAATTGGACAAACTGTAGTTAGGGCAATGGCACTAATTAAAGCAACATGAATTTAGTAGTCTATGGAAAATTGTTGCACTTTGCTGTGTATGAGAATGATATAATCAACTGTGTTTAACTTGAAACCAAGATACTGCAGTGATTAAGTCCTGCTCTAGGATGCACATGCAGTGTGCAGAGATTTGTCAGTCGTCACACACCTACAGTAAGAACACAGAGGAACCATTGAGAAAAGTAAGCATATATACACACTCTAAGAACCAAATCTCCCTAAGCCTGTAATTTCCTGGCCGCACGTGCTGAAACACAGGCTGGCCTCGAGAATACATCTTGACTGAGTTATTCCTATCTGCTCTACCCCACTAACACATCATCAGAAATCACACAAATCTCTGCCAGTGGTGGTGACGATGATGATCCGCTGATGTGTCTTCCAGTGCTGTATGACTTTTCCTGCATGTATGAATACGTACAAATAGATAACTTCGTGTTGCAAGATTTTGACCTCCCATCTATCTCAGTTACAGGAGCCCCGTGTGAAAGAAATTACCCCCTTAGTACTGCAGGAGAATGTTTTGGAAAAGTGGTATTTCCCAATAGACTTTTTTAAAGCTGTGAGCTGCTCCAGAGGTATGTGGAAAATGGTTCGTCCCAGGTGGTTGGCTGTGAATGTGCCCTACAGAAGGAAATTTCCCTTACAGAGATTTTGGTGGTTTGTGCACAGCGTGTTCCAGCATAAATCATAAGCTAATTTATCTCTGATGGATGCTTCGGGGGCTAGAAAAGAGATGGCTACACTCTGGCATTTGCTGGGTTGGGTTCTGTGAAATGTTTACCCTTTTGAAAATGGTACCGCAAGATGTAAAAAGGAATATGAATACCATAAATAGTGATAAAAGTGTGTAAGGGTAACAGACAGCAATTTTATGAGCCATGACAGCAAACTGTATAGGCCAAGAGTGAATTTAAAAGAAGGAAAGAGCAAACTTGACAAGAATGAACAAAAGAGAAAGAAAGACGTTAGAGGAAGAAAACAGGAAGTTCAGTCTCTAACACATGACACTTGAACTAAAGAGTGACTTACACACACACACACACATACACACAAAGAGCTCATCAGATAGAAAAAGTCAAACAGGCAGTTGAAGAAGGAATAGATGGCTTTGTTGTAACCACCATTTTATAAGGTCTGCAAATGTTGCCAGTTCTTTCCAACATGAGAATCAAAACTGTGTGGTAATACAACACACATGCTTCCCTAACGACAATATTGAAAACCGATGCAGCCCTTGTTTACCTTTACCAAATTCAAATGGAACATTTTACAAAAAAAAAAAAAAAAAATTGTCTGGTGAACTTCTCTTTAATGATGGGAATTTCTATTTGGCTTTGTGTTGTTTGGTGCTCTTCCTATTCTAGGGTGGATGTGGTAAAATTCATCTGAATATGAGTAATTACTTTCTGTTACTGTCTTTTTGCCTCTCTTTCACTCTCCAGTCCTCGATGTCTTCTTTTGTCTTTTTAAGTTTTATCTTGTTTTTATATTTTCACCATCAACCTGAATTTCTTCAGAATGTATATGTTATTATTATCTTATCATTATTCAGAACTCATTTCATTTCACATTGTACAGCACTGGATATAACTAAGATAATAACCACTTTATGAACTCATGGTTCCATATCTTTACTTTCCAATAACCAATATTCCAATAACTTGAAATATAATAAGAACATTATTTTAATACCACAAAGCTGAACAACCACAACTGAATGGGACTCACAGATGGAATATCACATGAGCCATACCACTCACAGAAAATCTGCCTTACTGTAATGAAGCCAAGAGTATTTAGTGCACTATTCAGGGCTGTTCTAATATTAAGTGTATTTATTCAGCCTGCAATCTGCAGCCTGCCCAGCCTTCCAGGTTACACTCATGTGGTTGGTAGAACTACAGACCAGCACTCATGACATTTCTTATTATAGGACCGCCGACGTGCCTCCTTCACATTCTGCATATGCCACATTCTCACGTGCCAAACCTAATCTGTGCAAGGACCACACGGATATGAATGTGTGTGTGCAAGGGAGGTAAGACCAATAGTGTCCAGTCAGGCAGGTGAATGGCGTAACACTATTGAGGTAAATTTCTCTGTCTACGCTCATGTTAAGAAGGCTGCAAACTCTCCTCATGGAGGATGTGTTCGGTCATTGTCAGACCAGTTCTACACATGCCAACCTGCACCACCTAAAGGATGGGAAGGTGATACCAGAAGCAGGTTAACCTTCAGATATACACATGTCAATGTTCACATCTACAGCCAAAGAAAGTTATAGCTATTAAAATATCTACACATGTACAACCTTCAGACGAGTGAAGAGGCTGCAGTTGGCCTGTAGATGGCACATATTATATTGATTTCTTTACATTTGCAGGCCTAAAGAAGAACTCCGGACTTCAGTAAGTTAGTTTGTCAACTTAATTCAGTGAAATAGACCCCTTTGGTTATTGTGTAACCATGAAAGTTATTAACCTACAAAACACTGCACCTGTGAGACAGCCTGAATGACAAATATCTTTCTGCAACTACCTTATCCTAAATCAACCGATTTCTTACTCATCCTCAGGCAAGAATGGGGAGGATGCTTATGAGACGGCCAAAGTTAGAAATGAGAGGTTTTCTGTTGCCTGAACAAATAACTACAAGTACCATAATTACGGTGCAATTGCAGTCATGAAATGAACCATCAAGGCGAATGTAGAATAAATTGTGCTAGAAGAAACAACATTTCTTGTGCATTTTTGTAGTGTGCAAATAGAAATGACCATTCAATTTATACATAATAATCCATGCTAAATTAAGTGTAGATTTCTTTGCAGGTCTTTATTCTGTTTATATATAAACTGTAAATTTACCATAAATGTGTATATGCAATCTTTCATTCGCAAGATATTTAAGTGTTTTACCACACTGCAGCCAAGAGGAAAGGAATAGACAGAGAACAGTGAGAAAGCAGCAAGTTTTATACCAGTAAAAATATGATGTTATATTACAGAATTGTGCAGGTTATTGTTACTGTGCCCACACCCTGTATTCTCTGAAATATACCAGTGTTTTTGTTATTTATTTTGAAACATTATACTTATGTGATTTGATTCTGAGTTATGAGCACATAGCCTTATGGTGACCATGCACACATGCACACACACACACACACACACACACACACACACAGGTTACCGTCCAGCTGGATCTTTCACTGGAGCTCATGGAAAAGCAAAGTAACAGGGCAAATCCATAAATGACACTGGGAAAGGACAGAGCAATGGAGCCTTTATAAATGAACCAGTGGCTCAGAGATGGGACAGTCCACGCCTTGCTGTAACCTTGGTGCCCAAGAAAAGACACTGGATGCCACATGAGCAACCCCAGGCACTATACCTATTCACTTGTAATGTCCAGTGTTTGTACATTTATGCCTTTGCCTGATGACTGACACAAAAGGAACTTTGCAGTTTACTTACTGTTGCAGAATAAGTCAGAGAAACCTGAGGCTGTGCCAGAGCAGGAGAGATGGTGTTTGCAGACAACAGGTGACATTGGGATCCAATGATAGCTTGACAGCACCATCTGGTGGGATAAACCAGGCAGGCACGACAAGATGCTACAACCAGCTACCTGCTGAGAAAAGTATATGGATGTAGACAGTTTTTTTATGATAGGACAACAATACGTATCCACAGTGTATCAGTTTATTTAGATCAATAACGTTATTTCGTTGTTTAGTTAACAAGTTACTTTGTTGGCTAATTAGTTTTTTAGACATACATTGCTAAAAGCATTAAATACCGAGAATGGATAGAAGAAAGTAGGGCCACTAGCTGAGCTGCCAAGGTCCGCCGCGTGCGCGCGCGAGGCACGAGAGTGAAGTCCCGCATGCGCATTACCAACTGGCTTCTCTGTGTTCAGGAGGTTGGGAGAAGATGAGGCTGAGCATGCACGGACCGGATGCATAATTGGCCTACCTTAGTCATAGATTTCCATTTGCCTTGTCTAGTTTCTTGCCAAATTACTGTTTAATGTCGAACTACAGCCGGAGCGGCGTAGAAAGTGATTAACGGTGACGGCAGAAGAAAAAGAAAAAGAAGAAGAAGAGGCAGAAGAGGAGCGCTGAGAGGAGCACGGCATCAAATTGCACCGGATGTCATTACACGCTCTTAAATATCGTGGACGTGAGTAGCTGCGTCTTTTTCCAACATTCGTGTGTGTTATATTTGATAGGGAAACACTTTTTTTTGTATATATATATATATATATATATATATATATATGTATATATATATATATTTATATATATTTGTTAGAGTTTGGTAGCTAATCTTATTCTCGTCTTCATCCGCTCTCAGACCAGTTCAGCCACCCACCTGTTAGTCTGGGCATAAACGCATATTTGAATTAACCTAAAATCCCTAAGATAAAACAAGTGTAAATGATTTTATTGGCCATTGAAGGGTTGGGCCTTTTTTAAAACAAACTGTGCTATCTGTGAGGTATCTTTCATTGTTTTATTATTATTGCAAAATTACAAAAAAACAATGTTAATCTTGCAGTGTGCAGGTTTTATTCTCATATTTTTGTCATGAACAAGGCTTTTGTAGCGTGCCATAGCACATGAAGGCAGATAACCATCAAACAGGCTTGTGGGTCGTTGGGCATTTGTACTTACAGGCCTACATCTAAGCTCGTTGATCAATTGAATTTAAGCCTCTTGAGCGGTCCGAGCGAAACCTGCTGACACATGCGCCCCTGTCTTTTTGTGTGCGCACAAACCCAGTTAACCCTCTCTAGCTGATCTCCCTCCGCAACTGAACTGTGGCTCTGTTATTATATGAAGTCCTGCAAAAAAAATGTCCACACCCATGTGCAATATTGCTCTGAGATACTCTCCTCTCAGGGAGCACTCAGCACTGGACTGGACAGTAGTTACTGTATCCTTATGCAATTAAATATTTAAAGGGCAGCTGATCTGACGCATCGGATTAATTATAGATTAATATGGAGACACCTGCTCTCAGGTGGATAAGAAGTTTTTGTTATGCAATGATGCTTAAATAGAATCAATGAGCTGCACACCTCTCTCTCTCTCCCTCTCTCTCTCTCTCTCTCTCTCTCTGTCTCTCTGTCTCTCTCTCTCTCTCTCTCTCTTGATGTAAAATGTACCATTACTACTAACTTTCAGTCAGGTTTTTTCTATATTTGTCCTGTTGAAAGTGAGTTAAAGGATGTTAACAGGTTAATAAAGGAATTATCTATCTATCTATCTATCTATCTATCTATCTATCTATCTATCTATCTATCTATCTATCCATCTGTCTATCTGTGAGAGAAAAAACAACTGTCAGAAACAGAGAAAAAGGAATTTCCCAATATCCTCCATTCTGCTTCCTACAATTATGTAAAGTGTTGTGACTGACCAGCAATCATAAGAATCATTGGAAAGTGCATTATCATCTTGTGGAGGTTAATGTTACCATACTGTTCCAAATGAGGGCCAGTGATGAGAGGCCTAATGTGCTCTTTTAGGATGTTTACAGCAGTGCTGAAAAGAGCGTAATTGAAAAGCTTTATCCATGCATTTATTATGAGCTGAGTATGACACAGTGTCATACCTATCCCAGACTAAATGGCTCTTACTTTCTGTTTTCAACGTATTATCTGGAAAGAAGAAGTCAATTTAACAGGGTGGGTGTTGAAAGATGTTATCCTGGTGTGCAGTCCAGACAACACAGGCATGATAAATATGTGCACACCAACAATTGTAAGCTTGTCATGGTAGCAATGTTTTTCAGTAGTTTACAAGAGTACGTGGACAGACTAATGCACACTGAGAACACAAAATGAGTCAAGAATGTAGCTCCTCATGCTCTTTGTTAACGTGATAGGACACGTATGGCCTGTAATTTAATTTGGGTGGTCCTGACTGACTTTGACTCTTTTGCCTCCCTCACTCTCTCTCTCTCTCTTTCCCTGCTGCAGTATAATCAAGACCAAAGGCAGAGCCATGGAGGTTGTAACACATTTTGTGAATGACACTGTAGAATTTTACAAATGGAGCCTTACTATAGCAGGTAAGATCTTTACAATCACTCGTTTCTAAAATTCACAAGAGCAGTGTGCCGCTTCAGCATGCATGACGGTTACAAACTAATCTACCACTGTTTTCATTGTCATTTATCCATATTGTGGACTATGATAAGGTTTTAGTCACCAGCTTACTTGTAGAGATGTTATAAATGCAATGCAAAGTCTGACAGGTCAACGTTGAACCAGGAAGCAGCCCCTGGTAGTATGTGCAGTAATTTTTGAATTCAGTTTGTTTTCACCTCCAAATACACGGTTTAGATAATATGGTCAAACTGGGCACTTAGTTAAAAAAAAAAAACTGCTCAGTTACTCATGTGGTGATGTCTTTTGCACTCTCCCTGTGTCTTTGCAATAAGGCTGAAAAGTAATTTGTCATTGTTACTTATATGGATAATGTCAACAGAAAGGGCAAAAGCTCTGGATTAAATTTATTGTTTAAGTGATTGTTTGAATACCACAATGCAACATATCTAGCATATGGCTCACCTGATACACTTGTGTCACACCGAAGTGACGGAGATAAAGATAAAGGTTGCGGAAGTGTGTGTCAGGTTAATTGTAGAAAGCGAGCTGACTGCGCGCGCTAGATTTGTGATAACTTTTACAGTTGTCGATCTGTTACTTCAACTTTACTACTCACATTTTCCCACCACTGACATTAACCTGTTTTTCCTCCAGACAAGAGGGTGGAGAGCTGGCCGATGATGGCATCCCCCCTCCCCACACTGGCCATCAGCTGCCTGTACCTGCTCTTCCTGTGGGCGGGGCCTAGATACATGCAGGACCGCCAGCCCTACACACTGAGGAGGACCCTCATAGTCTACAACTTCAGCATGGTGGTCCTCAACTTCTACATCGCCAAAGAGGTCAGCGCCACTGTGGACTATGTGTTAACATGTAGATGATTAAATACACCTGCCCATAAATGCAACATGTATGACTGGCTGGCATGACATGACTCTTGTGATTCTAAAGGGCAACTACTTAATAAGCACAAGACAAACTCTGCAGAGTGAGTTCAGTGTCTGACCCTGTAGACTACAGCTTCTCTGCCACAATGTACTGAAATAACAGCATCTGCCCCACAAGTCACAAGGTGTTAAAATTTAATCCTTCCCAAAAAACTTTTTGTGGCCATTTCTTTTGTTTCGTGTCATTAATCATTCACATTTAGCATGGTGCATATTTGCAGTGAGCTTCACAATGTTCATTGAGGATTCTATACAGAAAATTATATTGGTGGAGGCACCGTGCGCCACCAGTGAACCTGTCCAGAGTCACTCACCTACTACTTAACATAAAGAGAGAAAAGCTTCCTCATTTGGTCACTCTAATAGCATTTTAAGTGGTTGAACCCATTGTTCTGGAAGCAGCTGTAGCAGTTGCTGCTGAGCAGAAGATAGATTCGAGCAATGATCTGTGATCCTCGAAACTCGAAAATAGTGGGCCTTAGTTTGCAATTCCTAAAAAAAAAAAAAAAAAAAAAAAAAAGGACTTGAATATTTTACACGAAGTAACTTGTTTAGTCATGGTGTCATGTCTGTGTTTTCACTCTGCTTGTTTGAAAAAAAAATTATGGAGGCAACCAGGATTTATTTGTGTTCACTGCAGTAGTTAATGGCTTTTTCAAGTCAGTTTTTTTTTTCCTCTTACCCTTCTTCTGACATTGTGGTTTCTCATCAGCTCCTAATAGCCACTAGAGCAGCCGGGTACAGCTACCTCTGTCAGCCTGTCAACTACTCCAATGATGTCAATGAAGTCAGGGTAAGCCCACCCCACACACACACACACACACACACACACACACACACACACATCACAAGACAAAGCTGTACACATCCCATGCCAGTGCACAAACAAAAATAGCATTAATTCAACAAAAACGTTTTAACCTTCACTAATCACATATGAAGCAACAGGGTTTTCAAGGTCTATCAAGTGGAATGATGCTGTAATCTCACTGTTGAAGTTCAGAAGATGACTTCGTCTATCAGTGTATATGAGTGTATGAGGCAAGAAGCAGAGGGAGGATTTAGAGGTAAAAGTTTATATCTCTAGTGATTCCAGGACAAAGAGGGTGTGGCCCTGCACTCAGAGAGGCGGGAGTAATTGGTCTCGCCACCCTAAAACTCCACCCCCCATCTCAGGCCTTGCTCTTCCATGATGGCATCACTAAGCGAGAACAGATGTCACCGTGCCATGGCTTAGAGATCAACCTTGTCTACTATGTGCACATGTGTAGCAGACGCGGAGGAATATGGCAGAGTCAAACAGGACAACATAGAGAGATGGTTTGTGATGGTATATCTTAAAGTGGAAAGATCTACATGTTTGCTCTCCAGATCTCCACACATCATTTTAGAATTAAACTCGGAACTGAAAATTTCCTCTCTGAGATCAATAAATTGTTGGCCTATCCTATCTTACATAAGTTATCTCTGTTGTTTGTGTTACTGTACAATTGAAATATGACAGGCAGCAGATTTCCTTCATTGGTTGTTGCCTGACTCTACTTTTTCCCTTCTTTCTGTTTTAGTATTTTATTCTTTCCTGTTAGACCTTGTTCACAGTTGTAATCCTGGAAATAGCTCTCTGCAGTGGAGTAATTATTAGCAGTACTTCACTTTACAGGACGTGGAAATGTCTGCAAATTGTATCCAGAGACAAGCTGTCATCTATTAAAGATGCTGTCGTGTTAGTGTTTAAGATCCACCACAGCGCACAGCAATTATTCACTCTGCCCCGTTTGATGTCTTTAGATAGCATCTGCTCTTTGGTGGTACTACATCTCCAAAGGAGTGGAATTCTTGGATACAGTCTTTTTCATCCTGAGGAAGAAGTTCAACCAGGTCAGCTTCCTCCACGTCTACCATCACTGCACCATGTTCATCCTCTGGTGGATTGGCATCAAGTGGGTTCCCGGCGGACAAGGTGAGTAAACAGGATTTTCCTTTTTTTTTTTTTTTTTTTTTTTTTTTTAATATCCTGCTGATAAATTAATCAGATTGCTTTCGTCTTTGTTCTTAAATCTTCCCACTTCTGGCTTATGAAGAACTAGTTTTCAGTCGCATGCTAACCATTCATAAACATCGTGACCACCATCGCATCTGATACAATTGTCACACTTTTCCACAGCGTTTTTTGGTGCAACCATCAACTCTTCCATCCACGTCGTCATGTACGGTTACTATGGCCTGGCAGCATTGGGACCTCAGATGCAAAAGTACCTCTGGTGGAAGAAATACCTCACCATTATTCAGATGGTTGGTATTATGCCTTTTTTTTTTTTTGCATTGTACATGTGCAGATGTTAAAAATTTGGTGGGATATATATAATATTGCAATTAAGCCTTTGAAACAATTGGAAGCACTAGAAGAAGATAAATGAGTTATATCAATATCATAGTATTAAAGGCTTTGAGAAAAAAAAAGTTTTATAGAGAAGCAGTTGAGATATGTGACAGTTCTTAGTTTGCCACTGTCTTTCTGTCCATTTTTAAATGATTATTCCTATATAAAATATTATTTTATGTACATACATCATAAGGAATGTTTTTACAAAAACAACATACAGACGGGTGACAAATTAAAGGAAAAACCAACATAGCATGTCTTAGTAGTGTTGGGCCACCTTGTGCCGCTTCACCGCTCCTTGGCATTGATTCTACAAGTGTCTGAACTCTGCTGGAGGGATTTGGTGATTTGATGGTGATGATGGAGACCATTCTAACATCAGCACAACTGAAAACCCACAGGAGATGGGAGATCTGGTCACCGCGACAGCTATAGCATATGATTCACTTCATTTTCGTACTCATTGAACCATTCAGTGCCTCGTGCATGGGGTCATTACCATCCTGGAAAACACCACTCCCATCAGAACAGAAATGTTTCATCGTAGTATAAAGGCAATCACTCAGAACAAATATGTATTGGTTTGCAGTGACTCCTCCCTCAAAGGGAACAAGTAGATCCAGACCGTGGCAGCAAAATGCATAACAGAGCCACCGGATCCCCTCACTGTAAGGGTCAAGCATTCAGGCCTGTACCGTTCTCTTGGTGTACCCCTCACATGCACTCGCCCACTTGTTGAGAGCACGGTGAAGGACGAAATCTCAGATGTGCATTCATCTTTCTAATGAGGAGCTTATGCACTGCACCCCTCCTCTAATATCTCTCTCTATTTAGCTGTCGACAGACTGTTCTTGCTGACAGTCTGATCACGTCCTGTATTGACCTTCTCTTTCACCTAAGGAAGAGTTTCTCTTCTCTTTTTCCTTACATGCAAACTAATGCATCACAGTGCATCAAATATCCCACAATGTCTGACACTGTTTACTGACGTCCCATAGATCCAAATACACATATCAGTGAAGTCACTGTTCCTATGGAAACACGAGCCAGTTTAGCATCTTTGTGACTGAAGCACCTGCCATCCATACCCCAACAATGATCCCTCTTCCAAAGTCACTTAGATCTTTTCCTCTTGCCATCTGGATACAGAATCAGAATGAACTGGGCCACAGAGCATGACTGGACAGGCTTTTCCTTTAATTTGTCACCCATCTCTGAGAAGGGAGCTGCTGTAATTAACACATGGTCACACCAATGCTTTGTTGTTTCATTAGGTATGTTCTGCAAGTCCATTGCATATTTACTGTGTTTCAGGCTGTTTTTCATTGTGAAATGATTATGTGTCTACATTTTGTGTGTTCAACAGATCCAGTTTCACGTGACCATCGGCCACGCCGGCCACTCCCTCTACACTGGATGTCCGTTCCCCTGCTGGATGCAGTGGGCTCTGATTGGCTACGCCGTCACCTTCATCATCCTCTTCGCTAACTTCTACTACCACGCTTACAGAGGCAAACCTTCCTCCTCGCAGAAAGGAGGCAAACCCGTCGCAAACGGCACTTCCGTGGTGACTAACGGTCATAGCAAAGTGGAGGAAGTGGAGGATAACGGAAAAAGGCAAAGGAAAGGAAGAGCAAAAAGGGAGTAAAGAAGGAAGTGGGGCTTGCTTGGTGATAAACAGAAAAGGTTGTTTTAAGGGCCAGAGAAGGAGGTAGGGTAGGGAAGGAACAGAGAGTTCAAACCAGACGACCATCCCTGCAAATTATGTAGACGGATGGGATTTGTGACCAACTTGAGAGGGAGAATGGGTAGCACTGTGTATTTGTGGGTGTGTCTGTAATGGGTTCTGGTTTTGAAAAGAAGAGAGGGGTGTTGGTTTTCTCCATAACAATTTATTTTTTTTGAAAGTGCTGACCACGTAGGCTCTGTGCTCTTCTGTCCAACTGTGTTTTGGACCATAATAGGACCAATATATTAAAGGACCTACAACCTGCTCAGCATCCACTATCTTATCAACCAAAATTCACCTCCAACTTTTGTACTCTGGATACCAGTATTGTTTTAACTGAAAGCTTAAATAGTCTTTAATATGCTGATTTATTTTATAGTGCTCTAAAAGATCGTTAAAGGTTTTAACTATTACCAACAAAGGAACATGCAGAGGTTTATACCAAAGGATTTTTTTCCTGGTTTCAGGGGAAATTTTTGTTTACGAATAGTTAGAATTACGTGAGGTTAGCAAATAAAAAAAAAAATAAAAAAATCACATTATAAATTTCTCACATCTGCCATCTGCTGGATTCAATTACTTCTACCAATCCAACACGTCATGGACTTTACATTTCATTCCTGTCTCAAACTGATATAACTGTGCTGCATTTACGTAATGACTTGCTATTTTCTTTGTGTTCATTGTGAATTTAAAACATTTAAGGGGAAGGGGTTGTAGTTTCTTTTAGAATTTATGCAAATTTGTGGGTGTCTTTGTTATAATACATATTTTTTTGTGGGTCCTCATGATTTTTTTTTTTTTTTTTTTTTTTTTGCTGTGCGATGTAGCGGAGGTGCAAGAATAAGAGCTTGAAGTTCAGCTCAGTATTATCTCACTGCCACTTAGGACTGAAGGGAAACTCATCCTGATCCTTTTTTTTAAAAATGAAAAACAAATGGTAATTTCATTGTCTCATTAAAATGAAAGTGAATCAGCTTCTGGCTGCACATAAAATGAAATAAAGACCAGCACCCCATAAACTGTTTGTGTGTCTTTGTGTTAGTTTTTGGTGTGAGCATGTGAGCACAAACTGAATTTGCAAATTACTAAATCAGCTACTTTACTGATAAAGCAAGTGTTGTACTCAAAATGTCACCCATTATGAACCTAATCTCAAACTAAATTATTCCCATTTTCCTCATGATGTAAAGAGCTATTATAGGTGTGTGTGAGAGAGAGAGGGAGAGGTAAGGCTGTGTCTTTGCCCTGTCCAGACAGATCTGCCCTAATCTTTGGGGGTAAATTGGCTTTAGCTCCAAAAGAGCTTATTTCCACGTCACTCCATGAGTTACCCAGGAAAGCAGGTCACTGGAAGAGAAGCCTCCACTAATCTGCCATCAGGTCGCTACTGCTCTCAAACTGTATGGATTAGTTAACATTTGGCTTTTGTATAGTGCTGATTTACATTACTATACAATATATGTACTTTTTATTTTTAAGAAACAACCCTCCCTCTTATCCACATCTTCTTTTTCCACATACTTGTCATGTTCATTCTCCTGTGACAAACACCATAACCCACTGCTCTTTGACCACGTGCTGGATTCACTAATGGCATCTATTAAATTATTCATCCACTATCGCATTTATTCTGTTATTCTTGCTACATCATGTTTCAGACTGCAGAATCTTTTTCATGCCCAGCAACTGCGTTTAGTATGTATTTTCTGATTTATGTATTTTTGTGTTTTTGAATGGTTTCCTCCTCAGTTACTTAACACACATATTCCTTGCTCCGTCCTACTGTACATGCACCACTTAACACGCCTCTGACTTATCCTGGTGCACCACCACCTGTCTCTTTCCATCCATGGCATCACAATGGAGATGGAGGGAGGAGATGTGAATGACTGACTGGATGAGATGAGTGAGATGAGGTGTATTCGTCCTCCTCAGGGACACAGAGGGATCTAAGCCAGGGACTAAGAGGATTGCAAAAGGCTGAGGCTTTTCTATCAAAGACGTTTGGCACAGGTCACTATAACCTGCATCCCTGCTGCTGCAGGTACATGTGCACACAAACCTATATGCACACACAGACCTAGACTTTGGGCATATACTGTATTTGTTTATTTAACTAGCAAGTGCACTTTGATATAGGATTGTAAGTGAATATATCCCTATGCAATACTCAATATTGTAGCGTAAAACAAATTGCTGATTCCTAAACACATCATTCAGCCCTTGTGTTTTATAATGTGGCACAAACTTAAAGGGCCAGAGTTTTATTAGCTGACTGACAGTCGACAGACCCACCCAGTCTTTTGAGAGGACCAGCCTGTTGGAGGGTGAGGGGTCAGTTTGCAGGGGTTAAATCCTCACAAACCCGACCTGTCACTCACTCATCTCATTAGCAATTATATGACTAAGGAGCTCATTCTAGTCCAACAGAGTGGAAACAGTCAGCATTTTACTGGCTCTCCGTCTGTGTTGGGCAGATTGCCTTCAGGGTGCTGAGGCAAGTTATATGTGTGGAGAGCACCCTCTGCTGGACTGGAACTTAGTTACTGTAATACAGCTTGTGAGTGACATACAGACAAAACGAGGGGCCATATAATGTGATGTCTGGAAAAAGTGAGTGAGACATGCTGTATGTGCATCCCGAGAGCAATATTGTCAAGAAACAAGAAGGCTAATAATACTGTAAAAACACTGCAGTTTAATCCAACCTTCTGCAGACAGTAAAAGTAGGTCATTTGTAATGTTTTCAAGTGAGTATGCAGTTTTTTTCTGATATTTTGAATTATTATCCTCACGCGCGAAACCTAGCACAAACTTAAGCTCAAACATCTTTGTTGTCATGAAAACCACACCAACTGAAGTCCATATACTACTAATGAAAGCCACAAAGTGTGGCTGAGAGCTCCAGTAACTTGACTTTTTTGTGGATAGTGTTTTATTTAGTCTGAAATTATTACAACAGAATATGGTGAATATAATAATAGTAAATTAAAATTATTTATTGATCAATTCATTTAAGCAATCTGTCATAGTCCGTTCTAAAACATTTTTAACATTAATAATATCCAAAGTATCAAATGTGTAGAAGTATCAGAAAACGTGTAAAAGATCTAAATTGATGTTTATTGTCCTTTTTTTGGTGAAACTTATATGCAACAACCTGCTTTAGCAATTCAGTACTACATTATTGAGTGGGGGTGGGGGGTTTTGGGGGAGTCGCTTCCTGGTTTGACGTACAACCCTACGTCATATGGCCTGTGCCCCTGCAGTGCCTGGTGGTGCCCTGTGTCAGCGACTCTTCACAGTGATGCGGCAAGGATTCACCCATTCTGAGGAGCTCTCTGTGAAAATGCATTTGTTTGGACTTTTTGTGTTCCTGCCGGTCAGTGGCTGCATTCGCTCCAGTAAGATACAGCTCACCCTTAATGGTCCCGGCCTAAATAAGCAGGCCTGCACCTCTCTTTTAAAGTTGGGCCCTGGGTCAGCAGATGAGGGCTTCGAGAAAGTCTTGGAGAAAAGCGGCATCTAGTGGCTCACCTCCTTCAAATTAAAGTTGTTGTTTTTTTTATCTATTTGAATGGTGGAGCATAATCTACATCAATCCAAGCTGTGTAATTAAGGCCTGCACCTTTTTCACAGATTATTATTATTTGTATTTTTCATTCCTCTCTATTCGAAACTATATGTTTTGGAGTTCATTTTAACGGAGCAGAGGATGAAGCCTGCCGCCAGCGGCGCTGCAGATCCTCCATCATCGTCAACATCATCAGCAGACAATAACGCAGGGAGGAGGAGGCAGCACCGGGCTCCCTCGCCGGCCAGAGCCCAGGAAGGGACGAGCAAGCGAGCATCCAGACACCCAGGCAGGTGCAGACCTCCGCTTGTCGCAGGAAGGAGCAGAAACGTCGGGGTGAAGCAGAGTCTGAGGTCCGCAGACGGAAGGGAGAGGGAGCCCGAGAGCCGCGGAGGAGCAGCTGTTCACCCGGATGGTGCTGAAGCTGATCTAGTCAGACCAAACAGGGCGGATGCTGTCGCGGAAGATCCGACAGATTCGTCAGCAGCGGCCCGTCGCTCCACTTTACGCTTACCCTGCTTTAGTGGTGACTCTAACCAGCGTTTGCTGTCCGGCAGAGCCTCGTCTACCTTTTCGGTGAAAGCGAAAGAGAAGAAACCCGGAGAGGAAGAGACGAGGGAGGAGGAGGAGGAGGAGGAGGAGCGCAGATACAGGGAGAGAACCGGCGTTCCCGTGGGCTGCGGAGCGGGCCTCGGTTTGGGTTTGTGGAGAGGGGGATGCTTACAGGCTGAACTGATCCACTACCATCTGCAGAAGAGACTCAAGAAAAGCGGTGCGAAGATGCAAACCAAGGCAACCAACATGGGCACAGAGGAGGCCGCTCAGGGAGAGCTGGAGCCGGCTGCAGAGGCGACAGAGGCGGGGTCCGTGACACAGCAGGACCAGGCCCTACAGGACGAGATGGAGAGACTGCTGGAGGAAAATGAAGATCTCAAGGTTTGATACATATTACTTTTTACTCCACGCTGGTGCTCTGTCATCACTGTGGAGCTTTCTCAGATACAGTAGATAAAAACAAAGTGTCACCTCACCGGAATTAGTTGCAAAACAGACATTTGCTTTTGCACATAGGTTTGTATTTTCCCTCTGGAGCCATAAAACCGGATTGTATCTCGTGTTTGAGGTGTCATTACTGACCGAAAGACATAAATACACACCAGTTGATTTGTCTGTTCATCCTTCATGTCCTTGCCAAGAATAGAAAGCTCGGACCTAAACTGAAAACAGGCAGACTACAGATAACTAATTGGACTGGTATCGATCTGGTGTGATCAATGGTATCTAGTGTCCAGAAGGGATTTGCATTGCATGTATGTGACATGTTGGCATTTGCAGGAAATAGGCCTATATGTGGAATACAATTTGTAAAAAATAAAAAATAAAAACGATGCAGCTGACATCTAGAAATAAGTACAATGCCGATTATTGTGTGCTTTTTTTTCTATGACTATATTTGACTCATGTCCAAAAACATCCAGAATCTGTGGAGTTGAAAGTGAGATTTAAATATAAAAGCATAGAGATTATACATAGCTACTCCTCATCCAAACTATATACATCACATACAGTAATCTTTGCTTCTGGTTCCACTAGTGTGAGATTGAAGAGATGAGGACAGAGATGGACGAGATGAGAGACACTTTCTACGAGGAAGACACTTGTCAGCTGCAGGAGATGAGGCGTGAGCTAGAGAGAGCCAATAAAAACTGCCGGATCCTGCAGTACCGTCTGAGGAAGGCTGAGAGGAAGAGGCTGCGCTACGCCCAGACGGGAGAGATCGATGAGGAGCTGCTCAGGAGTCTGGAGCAGGACCTGAAGGTGTAGAGGGGAGGGGAAGCTGCTCGACTGTGTGTGTGTGTGTGTGTGTGTGTGTGTGTGTGTGTGTGTGTGTGTGTGTGTGTGTGTGTCCGATTTGATGCAGTTTGCAAAACATTTGGGTCGAGGAGGGGTCTCTGCCACAGGAGAAAACATTGCATTTCTACAATACAACTTTTCACAAGACAAACTAGAATTGTTGTAGCTTAACTGCTACACATTTTAATGGTGTATTAATTGTTTTGGGAAGGTGTGCGAAAAGCTTAAAGCCCGTATGACCTTTTTAAAAGTGAAGATAACATATGAATATCACAAAAGGGCAGGGAACATATAGTATATACTAAGTGCAGTTTTCAGTTTCATCACACTACAATCCCTGCAGGTAGCGAAGGATGTGTCTGTGAGGCTGCACCATGAGCTGGAAAAGGTGGAGGAGAAACGCACAAAGACAGAAGAGGAGAATGAAAAACTGAGACAGAAACTCATCGAGGTGGAAGTGACCAAACAAGCTCTGCAGAATGAACTGGACAAAACCAAAGAGGTAAGTAAACACTTACCCACATCCGTCTACATCACACCCATTAATGAGAACGAGGTAATTGAATTTGAAGCACTGCTGAAGCTACAACCGAGAAACGAAATGTAATGTGACATGGATGTCTGCTTTAAAAAATTGAATTATAGCCTTATTTTAGTCTTAAAAAAAGCTGTAAACCGGGGCGCCCAATGGCTCACCTGGTGGAGTGTGTACGATTTATGCTTAGTCCTTACCACAGCGGCCCAGGTTTGACTCAGGCCTGTGGCCCTTTGCTGTATGTCATCCCTCTAATTAAGGCATAAAAGCCCCAAAAAACCATAACAAATCAGACACATTGAAAATATATGAGAAATTCATCAATTCAGAAAAACATTAACTTTTCAACTTACTGTCCTCCAATAGTCTCAAAAGAGAAGAGGAAGCAAGGACATCCAGAAAACCGATAAGAAAGCAGCACAGACTCCTACTGAGGTGAGATGTCAAACCATGTTTTTTTTTTTCTTTCTTTTTCTTGCATAAAAAAAAAAAAAATCACATTGTCCAAAGTAATGAAAAAAATAATTCTGTAATTATCTCTCAGTCGTCTTTGTGAAGTCTTGCCATGGATATGTATGAATAAGACTTTCAAGGTTCCTGCAGGTTTAACTCACATCCTTATGTAATGTACTCAAGTCACACAGTTTGCTTTTGACCTCCAGTCACTTGAAAGAGAAGTATATGTAAATGAAAGCAGAGTTTGCAGAGCTCCAGCACTTTGGACTTAGTAGACGTCAAGCATCGTCTTGGTCCAGTGATGGATAACGTTTGGCTTAGAAATGCTGTGGTACAAAATCTTCCCTCTAATCTTAAGTCCCTCTGTGTTTATGTCTTATTGCAAAGAGGAACTCACTGAACTTTGGGATTAAGTTTTACCCTTTTCTACTCGCCTATCACTACTTTCTCTCTGTGCTGCAGGAGGACAATGAGGACCTTAAGTGCCAGCTAGCCTTCATCAAAGAGGAAGCTGTGCTAATGAGAAAGAAGACAGCCAAGATTGACAAAGAGAAGGACCGACTGGAGCAAGAGCTGCAGAAGTACCGCTCCTTCTATGGAGAACTGGACAGCACCCATCCTAAAGGAGAGGCCGGGGGACCGCCCACCACCCGCGAGTCAGAGCTGAAGCTACGGCTCCGCCTGGTGGAAGAGGAGGCCAACATCCTGGGGAGGAAGATAGTTGAGTTGGAGGTAAGAGCAGACAGTGCGACGTGGGGTTTTTTTTGGAGTGGAAGTGATGTGATTTTTGAGCTGGTCTCCCTCTTTCCCACAGGTTGAGAACCGAGGCCTGAGGGCTGAGCTTGATGACCTCCGCGGTGAAGGAGAAGGAGCTGGGAGCTCTGGGTGTGGAGCGATGGGTGGGCCAGGCTCAGGGCGAGGCCTGGGGGAGGATCTGACGGAGCTCCGACAGCAGCTGCAGTTGGTGGAGGACGAGGCAGAGCTTCTGAGGAGGAACCTAGCTGATGCTGAGGAACAGAACACGAGGGTGACTGCAGAGCTGAACAAGTTACGGTTCAAAGCCGGCACCCACGAGGGAGGCGGCAGGCATGGAGGAGGAGGGGTCACAGGAGGTTCAGGGATTGATGTAGCAAAGGCAGAAGCCCTGCAGGAGGAGCTGAAGGCAGCAAGGCTACAGATTAATGACCTAAGTGGAAAGGTATGCAAGGCTGCTTAATTGTATTGACACTGATTTAATCATTTCCTTTTGATTATGAGCCAACAACGCTTAAAATATTCTGCTGTAACCACAAAGTAAATCTGAGGCTGATGTGAATGTCATTAGATTTGCAGGTATTTGGTCATAAACCGAAATATTGGATAAATTTCAAGATTTCAATTAAGACATTTCACTCAAAATCACAAATGTGAACCTCATGGTGGCGCTAGATGAAAAGTCATGGGATAACCAAAGGCATTAGGATAGTCCTCTGGGGAACATGAACAGCTGTGAAAAATGTCATCCAATAGGACCAGAGTGGTGGGCTGTCCAACCGAGAGACACATCCACAGAGCCATGTCGCTGACGTGGCTAAAAAGTATCTTGACTCATTTTGAAATCTTTTTCCTCATGATGTTCTATTTTTGTAAAAGTCTGATTAAAAAATGTTTTTACCGTACCTCTCTTTGTGTTTCCTCAGGTAATGCAGCTGCAGTACGAGAACCGTGTGCTCCTCTCCAACATGCAGCGTTATGACCTGGCCTCCCATCTGTCCCTGCGGCCCAGCCCACGTGACAGCGACGCTGAGAGTGATGCCGGTGGTGCGACAAGCGGCCGTCGTGAGAGCGACGAAGACTCCACCTCTTCCCGTCTCGTCCCACCTCACCGCAAACGTGAGGGCCCTGTAGGTGGAGAAAGTGACTCAGACGAGGTCAGAAACAATAACGGCAGCAGCCGTTGCCTGACGCCCACACGGGGCCTCTACACCCCCACCGGACCCGAGGGTGCCGCCTCTTCTGCCTTGTCCCGCTTCCTACCCGGTGGCCGGTGCAGTTTGCGCGACAGGCAACAAATGATTGACATCCGCGTGGAGGCAGAGAGGCTTGTTCGGACCATCGACCGGCTCATCGCTGACACGGCCACCATCATCTCAGAGGCAAGGGTCTACGTTTCCAATGGCGACCTGATGCTTGGGATAGGAGGGGAGGATGGTGGAGAGGAAGATGGGGGCAGGATAAGGGAACATGAGCTACTGTATCGCATTAACGCCCAGATGAAGGCCTTCAGAAAAGAGCTACAGGCCTTTATAGACAGACTGGAAGTGCCAAGGCTGGAGGACAGGGACACAGAGGAGCCACTGTCGGTGAGACAACACTAAAAACGTTTATGAGTTTCGTGGTGGCATATGAAATGTCTCACAATGCTAACTCTGTTTCTTCCTTTTTCTCACTTAATCCAACCTCTTGTTTCTCATCTGTTATGGTTGGTCACCCAGATGTTCCAGCCCATCATTTTGCTCATCCTCATCCTCGTGTTATTCTCATCCCTCTCTTACGCCACCATCTTTAAACTCGTCTTTCTTTTTACTCTTTTCTTTGTTCTGTGATGTACGCCTCCCTTAATCACATCATCCCTCGTTTGTTTCTTTTGCTCTGTTGATTTTCTTTCCTCCCCACATCATTTGTTGCCAAGGTAACCGAAAGCACAGAAAAAAAACTCAGCACTTGCCACGGCTGCACTCACATTCAGCGAACTGTGGCTAGATTCAACACTGGAGTCTACAATACCCATAAAACATCACTGTCTGCATCGGTCCCTTGAGAAGGTGAGAAGAAAAGCTTGTTTACACTAGAGTTGATACAGTGTGAACAAGGACATAGCTACTCAATTTATAGAAATGGAGGGTTATACAGGGTTAACATTGAGCTATAAGGTCACAAGACTGTAGTGAAGGAAGCCTAAATCACCTTTCCATGCTGCTTTATGTCCTGGTTTAACCTTGCTGCTAAATATATTTCCTCTTGTAACAGGTTATGACAGCATTCTTGTCCTCTTTGTTGTTCAGAACAACACTTCCTGTGCCATCCTGCTGTTGTTCCCTCAAGGTAATGTAAGGATAAAGTTTGTTTTTATCCCTTTCCTTAAATCCTGAAGGATTTGCCATGTATTAGGGAACACAACAGGTGGAGGAATGATGCTGATGATCCACAGGCTTCAAAACTGGAAGGAATTCTGACAATCATGTCGAGTGCCAAATGTCAGGTGTGCTCTTGGGGCCCCAAAATTCCCAACAGGGCCCCTGATTTGCAGCAGGCATTAGTAAATGATGGCGCGGCAGATGAACAGTAGCAACTGTCTTTGGATGTCACTGCAGCAGGATGAGTCAAGAAGACAGTCGCAGGTTCAGGTTACTCCAGAACATTGTATGAGATTTCACACAATTTGCTCTTTTGCACTTTTGCAACATACAATATGCAAAGCCTGCCATGATTGTATAACCTCAGTATCATTTTCCAATATAATATTGTCAAACATTAAAAGATGAGACTATATGGAGCTTACCACAAATTACATTAAAAACTGAAAAATAAAGAATGATATGCCAGGCATCCACCTGGCAGCCTCTTTTTTCCTGACTACCTTCAATAAAGATATTATTTACTGTGACACATTATTACACACTGTGTCACCCACACCCATTTGGCATCTCACGGAAAAATAATTTACAGCAGAGCATGGTCACAAGACAAAATCTGCCCAAGCATCCTAAACGAGAGTAGCAACAGAGAAGCCTATTGGCCGAGAGATCGAAGCAGCTGAAATAGCTATGTAAACACTTTCCCTCTCTCCGTGAGCCCCAGTAATTATAGCCACGATGCTGGTGACGACAGTTGTCCCATCGAGACTTCAAATGCTGGAACAAATTTGACATTATGATATTTGATCCCGGCTCCAATGGCGAGCCCACGTAAACACTAGGGAGCGGTATAAAGGCTGGGCACCCCGGCTGGAAGCTGTTTACCCTTTAGCCCGACGCTCCGGACTTAACCTCGATAATAGAGGCGTGACTAGGAGAAGGGGTCCCTTTAAATCCAGGCGGCGGGGTTTTACGTAACACAGCGGAGGAACAAGCGAGAGGGAAGCACCGGAGAGAGTGGACTTTATCAGTTGGAGAGGCCAGAGCGCAAAGCGCACAGGAAATAGACCAGGCTGAGGATTTATACTGGAGGGCAGAGAAAGCTTCTGTGTAGAGCAAGGTAAGGACAGCTGTTTATTATCGAGGTGCCGGTGACAGCTGTAATATTAATGCTGTATGGTTTGGTGCCTAAGGGGGTGATTTCATTTTAAATTAACTATATTAAATTAAAACAGCATGAATGGAAAACCCTGATACTGTCTAAACCCACTGCTTTGTTTTTATTTTATTGTACTTATTTGTGATGTTTAGAGTGTAAAGTGTTTTACTTGTCTTTGCCTCTGACATATATTCACTCTTTCTGTCCTTGTCACATGCACACTGGCAGTGAAGCCAGGTTACTATGCATAGTTACAAGATTATTAATATCTCCACTCTTACATCAAAGGTGGGAGGGAGGTGACCGGTACATTCGGGCACTTTAGAGACGGATTCTTGTATTATTCAACGATGGCAACAACAACAACAACAACAAGCCTGGCTCTCTTAAGTTTACTTGATAGGAGGTACAACAATAGTTACGCAGTTAATATGAAGTGAATGTTGACCAGACCACCCAGCATCTTAAGCAGATGTCAGTTTCTTGAGGGCAAAAAAATAAAAAAATAAATGCAGGTTTATTTTGAAACCAAAGCTTTTAAGTCATCCGTTGTTAGTCTGCTGCTCCTCAAAGCAAAGACAAGATAAGTGGGTCTGAAATTCTGGTGGTAAACGGTATTAGATGCAGCTACAGAACCACGCGCCTTCATGCATACCCAACTGACGACGTGTGTGCACCGCTGGGTTAGGTTCCAAGAAAATGGCCACCTCTGTGCATGCTTGACATTTTTTTCCTTCGCATGTCGCGAGGCACACAGAGGCAGGCTGGAGGTCAGAGTGACCAAGAGTCTAAACACTTGCAATGCTGTCACGCAACACTTGTCCACACGTGCTGCACAGGTAGGCTTACATGCCTGTGAATTTTGGACAAGAATGTCAAAGGAGAGGGCCGTAAATATCTTAACTCTGTGAGGGCAGAAAGTGTCCAACATAACAAGTGATTTAAGCAGTTGAGACGTGTGGAAAAACTCAAATTCGATGCGATAAAAAGGTTGGGCAAGTGTCATTGCCATTGGTGTAGTAGAATGTTTAATTCTACTTTGTTTGAAGAGGTTGAAGCAAATTGAGCAGGACTGGGGAAAAAAAAAATTGGTATAAGTGAGAATTCAGAATCAGATTTGTTCTTCAGTGATACAGAAATACAGAGAAAAGAAACTGGATGCAGGATTTGTTTGCCAACCATTTTTATCTCTTGTCCACGTGTTTGTCTTTCTAGTGTTTCAAGGTCATCGATCATTCCCGCCCCTCATCGTTAACCCTAGGGTGACCTCTGACAGAAAAGTGAAAGGGGAAATTGCCATTTGAAGAGACCTCTGGGTATTGAGTGGCCTGCGTCATGGCAGCCATTGATCTGGAGCGTGGGCTGGAGCACAGCGGCCGGGGCTGGGGGAAAGAGAGGCCAGAGCTGATGGACAACTTTGACTCAGAGATGCAGGAGTGGGAGGACCAGCTGCAGGACATCCAGAGGAAAATCGAAGAGGTAAAGATGGAAACATGATCTCAAAATGCAATTTGATCTGAAATCTCTGACAACACACATTAAAGACAGAAGCTGGAGCAATGCAGAGGAAAGTTATTTTGGATCAGTGGATAGTTTGGGACAGTGAAGGGGGATTTGACTTTAAAAAAATAGGTTTTCAATCTATATTTACTGATGTAGAAATTATGGGAATAAACTCATAGGATAAAATTCCCTAGCCTGTGTTTATAGTTAATCATTTTCTCCATCTTCAACTATATAATGATTATATTATTCTGGTCTTTACCAAAAGGATAAAGAAATCCAGCTGCATATAATCACTTTGGTTTAACACAGATCCTCAAACGTGACACTGTTTTGTCTCACACGTGTGATACTGGAGTGCGTCAGCATGTTAATTGTTTTGTTTCCAGGTTATGAAGTGCTTCCGTCTTCCGGGCTTAGAGTGTGTGTTAATTTGTGTAATTGGTGTGTATGTGCGCTGCATGCGTATGCGTGTGTGTGTGTGTGTGTGTGTGTGTGTGCTCCATAATAAACTGCTGCCAGCACACGGACTGACTCAACCTCTTGGCCTTGTCGGAGCAATGATACAGACAAATGTTAACAAGCTAATTAAACTGTGATGTGCTGACAGACATGCTGGACACACAGGCACACACACAGTTTCGCTCTCGCTCACACACACACACAGGGTTTGAAAGTGGATACTATTGGAAGTATTAAAGGTTGTTATGGCAAACAGATGCTTGAGCAAAGTGGAACAACATGTGCTGATCATAAATATAGGTTAGATTGTGCAACAGTTTTGTGATAATTATAAGACGTGTTTGCTGTGTAAACATAGTTCCTCTCGTTGAGCTGTGGTTTCCATATGGTTAGGTGGAATATGCTCATGAAGAAGTACAGCTAATTAGGAAGAATACAGGAAAATCAGCAGGAAGTTGCCAATCTTTTCTTCTGTTTTCATTTTCCAGTTGTACAATGAAGTTCAGGCCCGCAGAGGAGCAAACGATATGACTGCTGACAACCAGAAAAATGGCGGCGAGTCGGAGTGTGGCGTGGGGCACCACGGGAATGGCCTCTTTGCACCCGGCCATCACAGCAAGAATCACCCTGGAGCTATAACTGTGCCACATCACTATAGTAAAGGCTATGACTATGACCCCAACGGGTACAGCTACCCTGTGAGTCATCAGAATGGCTACGGTTATTGCCACACCAACGGCGTCTCGGAGATTGGAGACTTGTTGCAGGATTATTTGGGACAGGGGAAACAAATGAGCCGGAAGAGCAATGGAGCTCGCCACGTGGTGAGTAGAGGAAAAGCACTTTTTTTTTTATCATTTCCCTGTTATTGCCTCATCCTGTTGGCATTTGCACATCTCAGGAAACCAGATAGGTGGACATGATATGAGTCAAAGCTGTGGTTCCAGTATTATATAACATATTGATTACAGTAAGCTGGTTCCTTCAAGTCTGCTTACACCAACAGGTTACCAGATCGGAGTTAGTTTCAGATACTTTCACCCAAATGTTGCACTTTCGTAACTCCTGACAGAGCAGTCGAGAAGAAAGCCAAGACGTTAAACTGTTTCCTCGTCCACATGAAACGCCGCGTGTCCCTGCAACTTTAAAATACAGTAGATGAGAATAGTTTTAGATGAGCTATATCAAGCAATGATCAAGGGGTCAGTCGAGGTTGAGTTTTGGTAAGGTACAGTAAAGGGAACCTTGCCAGTGATCTTAAAGTAGCACACTCTAATTTAAAGCTATTAAATATAGTATGCAGTGGTTGATATGGACTTTTAAAAAAATATATTTTCCCATCTCTCTTAGCACTTCAGTGACACAATCAAGGTGAGTCAGGCTGTCCCCGAGATCAGAGGAAGATCTGGAAACGACAGGTAAGAGGTTTCTCACCTGAGCCACATCCAGGAACATTTTATGAAATGACACATCAAGCTTATTTTGTGTGTGTCTGATTTGCTTTAATGTTTATGTTTGACTAGGCTCGGTCAAGAGCGGTTTCTGGGCAGTTTTGAGGAGACTGAAAACTGGAAGAACAGAGTATCTCACATGAAGAGCTCCCCCCGCAGAGAGAGTTCCCCTAACAAAGAAAACACAGGTGCCAAGCCCCCTCTTGGACAAAGGGATGCTCCTGCTGTACAGCCACGCTCCCAGCTCCCAGTTACGACCGCCGACTCTCCCGCTCTGGACAGGAAGTCTTTTGGTCCAGGCGTCCTGGGAGATAGAAAGTGCGGCAGCCCCTCCGTTCTCAGGAAGTTCGGAGCCATGCTGCAGGAAAACGAGGGCAAAATGCTCACAGAATTAGGGGTGGTGACCCATCAGGGACCGGCCCCGGAGCCAAAGTGCCCCACCCCGGGCTGTCAGCGCAGAGCTCTGGGAGCCGCCGCAGTTGCCGGCAGGGCTCCTGCGCGTGTGTCTACCCAGAAATGCCAAGCAGATTCTGACGTGATGACAGCAGAGATAGAGCCCGGCCAAGACTGGCGGTTAGTATCAGACTCTCCCAGACAGAGCCACAGGGATCACAGAGGAGGCTACAGTGGTTCTAAAGGCTCTCACGCCAGTCCCCAGCAATCCCAGAGGAGATCACAGGTGGTGGGGAGCCCAAAGGTTAGACCCAGGGCGAACAGTGGGGCGGACAGAGATGGAGGAAGGAAGCCTGCACCCCAACACGTGGAGCCCAAAATGGACTACAGGGTGTCAAGTGCTTCCTCTGGAGCTCAGAGGATTCACAGGGGTGGCTTAGTGGGACAGGAGTCACCAGGTTGCGGCCGAGTGAGGGATGAAGGACTTATTGAGCTGCTGGACATGCTGGACATCCAACATGAGTACAGCTCCAGTCCCAGAACAGGACACACAGCTTTCAGACAGGAGCCGCAGCAGGTAGGTTCTTCTCTGTCCAGTTTCCAAATCCAATATCAGGAGCTTCATTTCCAAATTTTTATAAAAGCAACCAATGAAGCTCATATAAATGCTGACATGTGTCTCTCCAGGTAAACCCAGCCGAGCTGTCACCAGTAAAACCTAAGAGGAGCTTCTCTCGTCCCGCACGGCCAGCCAACCAGCGACCTCCATCCAGATGGGCAAGCCTCACCCCGACTGCCAGGATCACAGCCCCATCAGGCCCAATGTACCGCCCCCCAAGCCCCCTTACTCGCCCCCCAAGCCCCATGACAAGAACCCCGAGTCCGGCCCTGAAGCATCGGCCTCTCATCTCTTACTCTCTTCAGACTGAGACTGTCATTATGTGATACTTTCCCACTTCAATAGAGCTTGATCCCCTCCCAGGGAAACCCTTCCCGTGGTTCCCACCCTCCCACCCTCTCTCTGTGTAAATAGTAAGGACTGTTCTGGTAAAGTGCTTTAAGAGAGTTGCTGAGAAATGCTTCATTTCATCACAATGCCATGTTCAAGATAAAAAAACAAAACAAAAAAACAAAAACATCCACGACATTCTCCAGTGTTGCTGTGGCTTTCTGCTTCTTCTGTGCCCGACATTTGCCAACACATCAACATATTGCTTTGTTGTTGTCCCAACCCCCCGTAACACTTCCCTCTTTTTTGTATTGAATTTCAGGTGTTTTCTGTATAAAGAGATTTAGCATGCAGCCCTAGTTTGAGGGTGCATGCTCATGTGTTTAATCCTCACGGTTGCCAGGTTGAATCAAATTCAACCTGGCCACCAGTGGGAGTGGATTAAGTTGCAACTGTGCTCCCAGCAGCAACCTGCTAACTGTCAACAACAGTGTGTTTTACTGTATCATATTGTTAAAGTAATATATTTAAGATGTTCAAATAACAGCTGTGACAAATGACTATGATATGCCTTTAATGTATTTTTTTCTTGTTAATAAATATGACAGTGCTTTGACATAAAGACTCTGTCTCTCTCTATTGCAGCGTTGCATTGTTCTTTTCCATTAACGACGGCTCATGTTTCAGGGTGTTGATGATTTACTGCATCTCATACCTATGGATATCTGATACCAGCTGCTCCCTGCATGCCAGTGCAGTGGCAGCTTAAGTAGCGTTAGCTGGCGTTACAAATGAGCGAACTGTCCACCAACTTTAACACATGAGCTGGTGCAAACACCTGAGGACCTGCATGATTAAATATGTGACACCTTGATTTTTGTCATACTTAATATGCTGTGAAGTGACACAGGACAGCACAGTGTTGGTCCAGGAGCAGTTACAGTATGTTCAGGATATCCAGCATGCAGCACAGACAGAGGGATTGTGGGGGAATCAGTTTGCACATTCTGTGTGTCTCGCCTCATAAGATTGCACCGACAACCTCTGGCTTCCCTGACACCTCTGCCTCTGTGGAGGGTGAGGAAACACACACACACACACACACACACACACACACACACAAACACAAAGAACAAAATTTCACTTATACCAGCACACATAGCTTGCAGTTTCCTCACCAAGTAACAATTTTCTGTGCACATGTCCACACACAGCCGCACATATACACACACTCTCTCTCTCTCTCTGTCCTGGCAGAGGTAGTTAAATTGTGATGTGAAGTCATGTAAAGACTGGGCGGGTGTGCGGAAGTCCCTTGGCCCCATAATGCCTCAGCCCTGTCACCCAACCTCTCAGTGCTATGTTGCACCTCAGACAGAAATAGCAAGCGTGACGTATGTTTTGGTGCCAGAAATCTTAGCCTGCTGTCTTTGGGGGTATAAATAAAGAGGGGGGGGGGGGTCTTCTCTCTGTCTCTCTAGCTCTGTTTCTTTATCTTGCTCATGGCTATTACTGTCTCCCAATCAATCATCAAATATGTTATAGCAAATG